GCTCTGGCTCCTCTCATGCACGAGTTTGGGAAGGTTAGTGTGGTTGGCGATGTTTGTCACTTTTGAATGTCTTTCCACTGTATAATCGAAACTTAAAATGAGTGCGTATGTAATAAAACACTCAACTGTCAAAGTTTCATCAGTTTATTGGCACCGTTGTCTATACAGTTATTTACAGAACGTGTTTTTCTCCGCATCTGTGTGTCAGGGTGTGACGGAGGACAGGTCGAGTGGAGACACTCTCCTGACGGGTGTGGTGTTGTTAGACAGCGGGTTGAAGACGCAGGGTAAAGACAGGTCTGTCGACGACGGCTCTCCTTGCTCTCGCACCGCAGAGATCTGTCTCAGCAGAGCCTTGCCTTCCTCTCGCGCCTGGAAGACAAGCATTTGCAAACACGTCTGACAGGTTACACTAATTATGCTTGCCGTTTTAAGCAACTGCAGAAATTATCAAACAACTACAAAGAGGAAATATTTAACATTAAACAAGTTTTTTTTTTTTTTTTTTTTTCCCCAAATCTGGGATCCGTAGTCATTGCTGTAGGTTACATCCCAACCACAGATTCCTCAATCATGTTTATTCTGATCTACTGTCAAAATTCTAATCGAAACACACTTATAAACCTTTGTTCTGCTGTTAAACTACCTGTCCAAGATATGCTAACATGTTACCGACGTACCAACTTCTAAAAAAGAAACATGTTAACATTCCAGAAGCATGCTAAAACTTTAATTTATTGTAAATATGCTAACAATGTTAACCAAATGCTAAATTGTGTTAACGGTGTTAATGTTAAAAACGTACATCAACTTCTAGAAAAATACTGACATGCCAGAAACGTCCTAAAACATGTCGGTGACAACTTATGCTAGCCAAGTGCTAAAACATGCTGGCAGCATACTATCAACTGCTAAAAAACATGCTTACAATTAAACCCCTTAAAATATACCAGCTACTTCTACAAAAAAAAAAAAGGTTAAAACCTGCTAGAAACATGTTTACTGCATAGTCAACAAAAAAAAAAAAAGGAAAAACATGCTGGCATCTGAAGTTCTAACAACATACTAAAAGATGCTAGAAACGTCAACAACCTTCTACCACATGCTAAAAACATGTAGTTCTAGTCTTCTGATTTTACGATTGATTTAATGTTAATTAATCAGAAATAATATTTATAATGTAACATTTAAATATGTAATAAATGGATGGCAGTAGTTGTGAGTAAACTGATGAAGAGAAACTCACGTCGTTGTAATCGCAGCAGCGCTGAGCGCAGAGAGATGCCTCGTCATACAGTTTGTTCTTGAAGTAGTACTGACCCAGATACCTGAGAGCGGTGCTGACCTCAGCGTGCTCCAGCTGCTCCTGAGACATACACACACAGACACACACACAGAGACACACACACACACAGACACAGACAGAGACACACACACAGACAGACAGACAGACAGAGACACA